TCATGAGCACATAGTCTCTTAAAAAACATTTGGCCCTGGAGAAAAAGAAACTGAGTACAAATTCCCTGAAATGTCTTCGATGAACCCCTGAGAGTGATTATATAAAAACAAAAAAACAAGCTCTGTTAACTTAATTGTGATAACAGTGCATTAATGTTGTTTTTTCTTGTTTTAATAACCTGGCTCGATGCTGTTTGTGCATCATAAAGAGAAGCTTTGTCCTCTGCGTGTGTCTGATGACAGGGTTTGAGAGCTTTAAGGCAACAATACTTAGAACATCCTGGAAGCTGCAAATTGACTGTTCACTATTTCCCTACATCCCATTCTGCAGCCCCACCCTCGATCACAAGTAGAGTCCTTAGAGGATTTACATAAGGCAAAACAGATATACGTCTATGTTTAGAGAAGACAGTTGTTATTTATACATTTAACTGAAGATGCCTCTGACGGAAACAACACTGGAAGCCTCACTGTGGCTGTTCAACACTCTTCTTAGCGGCTGTACCTCAGGACTCAAATAGTGAATAGACTAATAGGAACTATGTAAGTGTGTTTTATAAAATTACTTCTCCAAAAGCAGCCATCTGTGCAGAACCAGCTTTCCTTCACTTTATGTTTGGTTGCTTTTAAGTCTCTGTTTTGCTGCAATGAGCAAGAAACATGTTCTTCACACACGTCCAATGTTTATTCTAATTGATGATATTGCTTGTTTTGAAAACATATGATCATGACCAACAGTGAAAACCCAGGGACTGTCACATGTGATCCCCACAGTGCAGCATCTTTAATTTTCCTCCCATTCAGCCTATAATTGAATCCATCTGTTGGATGAGTCCCACACCAGTGTCCTCAGACCATGTAATAGGTGGCGTTTTATCAGATACTGATGAGAAATGATTTGTTACTGAAGGCCTTGGAATAAATGCTGAAAAGTCAAGTGAAGTCGTGTGGATAACGGCCAAGCTTGAATTTAGATGAATCTCCCGTATTGGTCACCATGGCATTTTGTCAATCCAGGCCTTCTTTTCATTCTTTGTCCCTCTCCCTCTCGTCTTGTCAAGAGGTTGCAAGCCCTCTGGTCTTTCTGTCTCTGTTCTCTTAACTCCCAATGTGTCAGTCTATCCCACTCCGGCTCCGGACTGTCACCTTACGTTTAGTGTGAGGAGCGACAGAGAGGAGGGGAGAAAAATGAAAGGGAAGCAGATGAGAGAAGGAAGCTATGCATGAAGGGAGTGAAAAGGGAAAGGCCATGAGAACTGTGTGGGAGCTTAGGATGGCAGCTGAGATAGGATTTGGTGTTTCAGGTTTGTGTGTGTGAGTGCGTTTATGTCTAACTGGCCGGTATTTTGTGTCTTTGTGTTTGTTTGTCTGAAAATCTGTTTTCATGTGTGCCCGTGTGTGTGTGTGTGTGTGTGTGTGCGCGCATACACTCTCAAAGAGAGATCCACGGCGGGGGGTCATTCATGATTTCATTACCCAAGCTCTCTCAAATGCTCCTTATTTTTGTTCTCAGCCCCGCTTTGCTTTTTTCCCATGCTCCCATTCTTTTTTTTATATCCGTCTTACCTTTCTTCACACTGTTTCCTCTGCCCTTTTCACTGTTCTACTATCTTCAACCTTTTTTCCCCTTTTTTCCCCTCTGTTCCCTTTTTGTCTGTATTTCCGCTTATCAATGGACTTTCAACAGTCATCAGCCCATTACTTCAAGTTCATTTTCTTTTTAACACTCCAGCATGTGTGACAATATTCTATAACCCTTTATATTTGCATTACATCTTCTTTCTTCTCAGTTGTTTTGTCCTCAGAACTCTTTTGCCCTCACAAAGTTTGTCCAAAAATGGTTTAAAATAGTTTTCTTTCTTTATAAGGAATAGATTGCAGAGATATGGTACACTGTGGTTTAGATCTAAACCTAACTATTTATGTTAAAACTAACTCTGAAAATGCACTCGAAACTCTTCATCCCAACCATTTGAAGGTTAAAGAGATGATGAAGTCAGAGGAAGAGAAAGTAGAAAGAAATATGATGACTGCAGAAAATATCATGCAGCGCAAGTCTCAAAAATAATTGACCTCTCGTATCAAAGCCAGCAGATTCACAACTGTCATCATCCCTTTCTTCCTCCTTATTAGCATTTGTGCTGAGAATGGTCTAAACTCAAGCAATTTATTTGTTAGGAACACTACTAATTCAACAGTTATTCATCCTTACCTCAGAAACTGCGGTATTTTGTTCAAAATGATTTTTCAGCCTCTGTCAGGATGTTAACAGTGAAGCTGAGGCTGATCTGAGCTTTTGCTTGCAAATGTCTGCTACAAACTCTAAATGAGCTCCATGTGCAAAGGCTTGTCAATGTATGCACTCCATTCATTCATTAAATACTTTAGATGGATTACTTAATATATGCTGCCCTCAGACACCCACAAAGGTGCAATCAACAGAGTTTTGGATGACATATATTGGAAAAAATCTCCTCCTAACATTCACCCATACAGATTGTGTCACGTTCAATTTATTACCTAATTTTAAGTGAAATTGCATTTTGCTGTTGCTTGCAAACATTTCCTGCAGTTGCACACTTCATATTATGATGAAAGCTGCATTAAAAGGTTTTATGTGATTGGAGGGCAGAGAAATTGTAAGGGACACCTGCATCTTTGCCAAGATTTGATTAACTTCCGCCGACTTTTAAGAGGCAAGGCGGCAAAGGGTTTTAATGCAAAAAATTACAACTTTCTTGACATCTGGTTTGTTTTGACAGTGTTCTCTAATTTATTCCAAAGTCTAGCCAGAGATGACATTGACAAACACACACATGCACACACAGATGCCTGCATAAACTAAAATCCCCACTGTGTAACCCACTAAAGGATCGAGTTACTTGTGTCACCCCAAAAAACTTCAACCACTAATTTTCAGACCTGTGTACTGTTTGACTGTGTACTTTGTTCCATCTTTGAAAAAAAAAAGAATCAGAACATTGACAATATGTGAGTCTTGCGGGTTTCAGCGTACTCGTTAGGGATTCAAATAGACTGGACCACTCCTAGAGTAGTGCACGTTTTGTGTTTTTGGCCTCATTTGAAGAGGTGATGATGACTAGCTGCCGGTGCAACTCTTGCGAAAAGCACATTCAATGACATCATTTTTAGAGATGGCATTCTGAAAAGAAAGAAACGCGGAAGAGAGTCCCTCTTCACTTTGAAGAGAGACATCAAACGACTTGGAAATCACTGTCTAATAGGACAAAAGGACTTGCGGATGCTGGAGTGAGCCCTTCCCAGCCCACCCACACCCCCCGCAATAAATGCAGATGCACTCCCAGATGAGCCCACACCACCCCGGCATGCCTGTATGTCTGCACATGTCCTGTCACATCCAAGAAGGCTTTTAAAACACTAACAAGGCTTCTATTCATTTTGGAGGCAAGCCAACCTGGAACACATACTCAAGAGAGCATATGTGAATGCACACACTCAGACACGCACACACAGTCGCTCCATAGACTAAGACTCAAAATTATGCAGAGAAAATGAGCATGCACACTGATGCACTCACTCAGACGCATACCCAGAGTTCTTCAATTACACAGGCATATTTTCATAGAAAATTCCCTAACACACCAGGTGACTGACCCCCCGGTGCTGAGAAAACACACACACTCCCCTCCCACAATCTCACACATTTCCGTGAGCCAGATAAAATTGCCCTTCAAAGTAACCACACAATCAACAAGCTGGAGCTCGCCAGATTTAAAATGTTCTCATTCTTCCCATGATTTTGGGTGTGCGTTATCACGGTGTCCGGCCGCCTCTGGGTGTGTGTCTGGGTGTGTGTCTGTGTGAGTCTGCGCGTCTGCAGATGGGCGAGAAAAGGTCTTTGTGGGTGTTGTTGGTGGTATTTGTGTGCCACAGCACGGAGCGGTTAGCTGTGTCACATTCCATCCACATCCAGCCAACACCGTAGCCTTGCCCTTTGATACTCTCAGACACATATACATAAACACACGCTGTCAGACACACAAGCTGGTGTTTTCACTTCTTTTGTTTTACTTTTTTAACCAAAGTTTAAAATTTGGGCCTCTTATACTTTTGGCTGTGAATCTGGTTAACCTGACCACTTGAGTATCAATGAGTATCGGTCAATGAGAAAAACAAAAAGACCAATTGTATACAATAGTGACATAAATCTGAGAGATTTATAAATCAATACAGATGGGATTTTGAAGTAGAATAGCAAAGATGTTCTTTAAACTCTCCAGTTTGAGTAACATAAGCGTAATGAGACTTCACAAAAATGTTTCAAGGAAATGCAAATAAGAAAAATAGTGAAAGATACAAATCCCATTTTACAGTACCGATGGAGAGAGCCAGGATGTGATCCAGGATGTATGTTTAGACGTAGTTTCCCTCCCAGAAAAATGCATAATTTTCACTTTGATCAAAGCTGGAGTATTCAAACAGACTTAATAACTTTCCTCTTTCCAGTGCAGTTTTTCTCTAATGGAGAGCAGACCGGCCGCTAATGTGTTTATAATGAGGAACAAGTGTATTATGAGTAATGTCACAATGGTTGAATTTCATAGTGAATCATTGCTGTCTTAATGCACTTCCTTCTTTTTCAGGCTTCTATCTGTGACATTTTGTAAAGGAGTCTTTGCAATTACGTGGACTAAACATGTCTCTTAACAAAGGGCCCTTCATATTTATTTATTTATTTATTTATGTAATTCTCATTTTGAATGAAAAAAGGCAGAAAATTGTAGCGCCATGTGTGGTTTGTTTGTTTATACCAGATGTATTTTCTACTCATCTTGAGTTTCTGTTATATGTTTTAGGCTGTTTGGTTTTTTGGAAGGGGATGGAAAAAGCTAGGAATCATTGATCTGGTTTCCAGAATGAATAATGAATTAATGAGTAAATTCAAGGTGAGACGATTTCTTGACCGTCTCTGACCTGGAATTTGTGTAAAATAAAATAACAGACGCGTCCGACCTCAGGCGTTTACGGGCAAGGGAGTTGAAAAGAGAGGAACCAACCCGTGTGTTTGTGAGAACCGGTCTGCTGACCTGCGGTTGCGGCTGAGTCTGCCCATGGCCTTGTCCAGTCTGCCACTGCGGGTGGGGAAAAGGATTGCAAGTGTGGACACATTGCAAACCCTGGTGCCACCTAATGTCTGCAGATAGTGTTTAGCTGTACGTGCGGCAAAGCCGTAAAGCTAAATATATTCCACATTCAGCGTAGATTTTAGGAAGTCGTTGTGTGGGTATTTCCAAAATGGTGGCTGCTCCTCACTGACCCACACCCACACACCCACACAAAAAAATGCTGTTCTAATGAACGGTTGCTGTAATTAAGATACTAAAGGACACACACTACAGGATGTGGTAATTATGGCAAAGGTTTGTTTGAATTATGGACACATTTGACAACACTGGCTGTGGTTGGACAGCACTGGCTGTGACTGAGATTAATATAAAGAGAACTGAGGATGTCTGTCCTCTCTGTGGTCTCTTGGGGATTTTTGACTCCCAGGATTGAGGAAAAAAATGTTTTCTCTCTTTTTCCTCCAGACCCTTACCGTTTCCTGAGTGTCTGGTACTTTTAGTGAAGTGTGACAGGTGTTGTCAAACCCAGGTGCAGTGCAGAAGAACTGTCTCAAGTTTACCACAAAATAGTGATCCAGGCTTCACTTCAATCAAATACCAATGTGGGCCTCTGGGGTTCTCACCAGATGTGTAACTCTAACCCTGTCCTTTTTCTAAGAGAGGTTTGTATGAGTCGATGGAGGTGTTACACAAAAGCTGTCCATCATTTTTGCATAAAATGGGCAGCGGTCAAAGGGGGAATGAAAAATAATGACACAAAAATCATTTTGTCATTGGCATTGGAAATTAAACCGGCAGGGACTTTTGAGCCCCGAACACCAAAGTATCTTTTCAGAAATATAATCGCCCCCTTTTTTTTTCCTGACGTTTTTTTTTTTTTTTCATTCACAAAAAAATGGTTCTCAGATGTTAAACGTTAAACCCCGGCAACCACACGAGAACTTTGAAAAAGAAATAAATAAATTAAGAGGTGCTGTCTGATCAAAGAATACGAGAATTGAATTGACTGAACAGTCTGTCAGCTTTCAGTGCTCAGTTGGTCTCTGGTCAAAAACAAAAGAGCTCCATGTTGGTAAAACAGCAAATCGTATGTTTTTTATGTCTTTACTACAATTAGTTTGAAATGTAATACTTTTTTTGTCTCTATTTTCTCGATTTCTTGTTTTTTCCCCTAGTTTTTCATGAATCTGTGTTGCTTACTTACAGTAATGTTGGAGCCTTCTAGCAGGTAATCTCCTGTTTTATCTGCTAATCCCATTAATTATCACACAGCCATTATTTTCCCTATCATAATCCCCCTCCTGAGAACGGTACCACACATCCAGACTTGATCCACGCGTCTGCGTGTCTTCAAAAAAACTCGGAAAATGGATAAAAAGAAGCTTTTCCATCTGAAATAAAATGGTGATAATTCCCACTGAAATGAACAACAGATTTGTAGACACAGCTCCCTTTTTTATTCCCAAATCATCTCCATGTGCTAGGCCTCTAACATCATGTAAAGGTCAATGGCTAAACCGGGGATTTTAAAAACAATTAAAATGTATACTTTCAAATGTAAGCTGAAGGACAACTGCCATTCATATTTTTTTTTCTAAATTTGGTTTTCAATAACTGTTTATAAATGCATAACCTTTTAGTACTTGTAAAGCTTTACATTAAAAAGAAAAATTTCATTTCAAATTTTGAAGTACAATGTAGAAAATGTATACAATTTTCTCAAAATATCAATTTTCCGATCTAGCAAGCCTGGAAAACATACAACTATATAAAAAGCAGACCAAAGGGCTCTTTAAAAAATTCTGAATTCACCCACATTGACACCAAACAGGTTTTAAAGGGGCTTTTTGGACCTATTTTCATCAACGGTCAACATTCCTGAGGAACAAGATATTGAAAAAGACTAAATAGATGTACATATTAAGTTCAATTTTTTTCCTTCTGTAAAGTTTCCCATTGGCACGACCCAAAATGGGTATGCATTTGCATTATTAAGTAAATGTGTGGTCATTCAATGTTGGAAATACCACATAGCCTACATGAAATGTAATCGCTTTTTTCCCATCTTGACTTTGTGAGTACTGACATAAGAGGATGGATACAGCACATATCAGATATGACCTCCGATAGAACACGAGCGTGAGAGCATGTAAATGGGCTCTGCGCTTCAAAAAGCAGCTCTCGCTCAGGCCATAATTCATGCATTCAGACCACTTAGTCTTATTAGTCTACAAGAAAGATTAATATTTCAAAACCATAAACAAGAAAACAAACAGAGAAGCCTCCATGGCACCATAATTCAGGCTCAGGCCACTTAATGTTATTGTAAACCAAATATTTAATATTTCAAACCATAAACTAAGATAAAGAGACAAGCTCTCTTTCCAGTCAGAGTGCCATTCATCCTCTGTCCTGTCTTTCTTTATCCTCATATGGGTAATAACACTTGGTGTATGTTGCATATGTGGTTCGTTGTAAAGGTTGTGAAAGTAAGATTGTAAAATGAAAAAGGAAAAAAGAACATCAAAAAAGCAGTTTGTTGAAATTGATAAAAGCAAGACTAAAACGACTTTCGAAGATATACACAAAACAGCAAATGTGAGAGGCAGCAGCGAGGAGCTGAGAAGACTGAGGAGACTGAACGTTGGTCAGGAGTAAATCGGTGCGTCGGGACTTGACTTAACGAGGGCGGCGGCAAAACGAGAAAAAGAGATGATGAAACGAAGAACTGGAAAGCAGAGGGGAGGCAAAGAAGCTGACTGTGGTCTGGATGCAAAGCGGGAGTCAGCTCAAACAAAACCCTACATCACTCACTCGCTAATGACTGGCTAGCTGAGAGTTTGGCTATGCGGAAGATGTCGCATTTGAATTTTAATCTATTTTTAGGGCCCTGTAGTCATCAGATGCATTTTGTTATGGGTGCTGCTGATGGGGCTTTCTTGTTCTGTGTTTACAGAGGCCAAATCTTTGGAAATGTATGTTTTTTAGCAGCACTGAGAGAAAGGAAAACTCATTCCTCCCATTTTGTGACGGGGAACTGGTCTTTTTGTCGGTCTCAAAGATAGAAAAGGCTTGTTTTTGTCTTTTTTTTTTAAAGAGAACATTTGAAAAGCCTACAATTGCTCATAGTAATCCTCTGAAACACTCTTTGTGCTGTTTTTCATGACAGTTTTAACAAAAACATGACAGTTTACACGACGGTTTCAAATGTCTCACGTTTTGATCCAGAGAGCTGTGCCGTCATTCCCTCTGTATTTATTTATGCCATTGATGATTGAATTAGCAATTGTCAATATGGCATGTTGCAGTGACTGCCAGCCTTTTGATTTGTGGCAGCAGCTCTTCACTGACATTATTAAGGACTCAACATGCCATAGATTGCCAAGAACAGTTCACATCATTGCAGTGGATGCTAGATTTCGTGGACTCGACTGGCTCTCGCTCTCGTCCACAGATGGTCCTCTCACCATGCAGCGTCTTCGCGTTAACCTCCTTTCTGGTTGCGCAAACACATACTCACAAGCACACACACACGCAATCTTATTTACCACTCCACTCTCCCGTTTGCGTTTGACAGAAATCACCATAATTAGTTTGGCTGAGGCCGCTCCGCTGTTTTTAATGGAGTGAAATTATTTCACCGCATCAGCATGGGGGTTTGCAAAGTTCATCCAACCACTCAATGTCTCAAACTTTGTGTGCAGAAAGCGGTGTGTGTTTGCAGCGGATCTCTGCGTGCGCGTGCTCGTGTCTGAGTTTGTGTACTGTGGACTTTGTGTTGTTTTTTTCTTGCTTTTATTAACTCGAGTGTGAGTTGAGTTCTGTTTTGAATGTGATAATGACTTATTGATCTGATGACAAATTAATTTGTCACCGTGGAAGCCTGCCTGTGGATCAGAGCGCCACCGCCGTTCTACGGGGCTGCAGCTCAGCTGTTTCTTCCTTCTACTTGTCCAGGACTCTGTCATAGTGACAGCAGTTTTCCTTGATGTGGCTGTGCTGAGAAATCCAGGGGAAAAACAATCTGTCTTGTGCGATTCCGCGGTCACGAGAAGGAGTTCCATGCGGCGTTCGCCATTGTAGAAGTCCCCACATCCTGTGTCGATCCCACTTTTCTTTTCTTTAGCATGTAACCACTGTGGAAGGCCACCATGTCCTGCAGCTATCGGTGGTAATTACTGCCACAGTTTCCAAACGATTCCTCATGAGCGTGATATAGGGAGGAAGCGGGGCTGCATTAAAAATGCACTTTAAAAAATTAAAGCTGTTTCCATTTTAAATTTTACTTAAATCATTTTGTCTTTTAAAAAAAAAAAAGCCCCCGGTAGGCTTTCAGTGTTGCTGTTATTAATGCGTGTGACTTTTTTATGTGTTTTTATGCGACCACATGGCATCCTCCAATGTTATCCCCTCTTTTAATAACATGAAGTGCTCTCTAACAAAGTTAAATCCAGGCCTGCGGTGGCAAGTGTCCATCTTGAACTTGCACTTTTTGCAGATGAGGTATTTATTAGATTTGCGATGATTCACGCTCGTGTTCCCACACAGTGTATAAATATCTCATATAAAACCTGCACTGCCTCTTCAACTACGACTATAAACACCGACCAGACCTCATTTCGTAAATGATACGTTACTAGTTGTCTGCACTTTGGGGAATCCAGATGAGCCTTTAGCAGTTTTAATACCTCTCAGGAGTTCGGTCTGTCAGTGACAGCCACTTTGTGTTGGGATCATAATTGAAGTTGGATTGTGAAAGTAAAAGAAGAGCTGATTCATTTGTGTTGCCAAGCAATAATGAATTGTTACATTTCAACTGTATTGGCGAGACATTAAATTATGTCCAAGGACTTTTCACCTTTTACTTCATTTGGTTATGACTAGGCAAATGTATTTCATAACTATTATTTGGCATAAAACAATAAATATATGTTTCTGAACATATGTATGCAGGATGGCATTACATTGTCTGAATATTGCGCATTTACAAATAAATGAAGAACAATAATATAACAATAGTTTCTGTAAAATACATCTTTCAGATTGCTTAGTTTGATATCAACAATAAAATATTTAGGAATACAAAATGTTTCTTCTTAATGATGACATCAAATTAATTGCTTACAACTGATAAGCTTCATACAATATTTTATCCCATTTGAAGGGAATAAAAAATACACTCAGCATTATTGGGATGACTCATCAGTTCAGGATCAGCTTTATTTTTCAGTCTTATGAAATATGGAGTTGGTGGTGATGGGGAGATAGCCCACGCCCATGAAAAGACATATCTCGTTTTATTAGACCCAAACTCTGAAATTATGGTCAAAAGTTATTTTCCTTTTTTTGGCATTCAGAGTGTCACTGAGTTCAACAGAGTTCAACCACCTCCGCAGACAAGACTCGGCAAAAACTGTCCAGTTTTGATAAACAGAGTCTGAAGCCATGCTGACTGTCATGGAAATGGCAACTGAAAATTCATTTTGGGTTCGAAAGGTTT